AGAGAGCAGCAGAGTAGTGCCCCAGCTGATGGAAGTGTTCCTTTCGGCGAGTCTGGCGTCGTTATCAAGGAAATTCCAACAGCTGGAGGCGAGTGCAGTGCCGTTATGAAGGACGATGATGACATTTTCGATTGTGTTACCATAAGACTGACCAAACCGGAGTCGCGGCCTATTGTCGGGTCTTACGCACAACGCACTATTCCTTTCCGCAGCGCCTCGTTTTCTCAAGTGGATTTTTCGTCAGCTGACGGCAAGTACATTCGCAGTAACATAAAAAGTAGCCCATTTTCGTGTTTTCCGAGCTCTTCTGCAGGCGGAACGCCGCTTCCATTGTCCGCAACGTCTGTGATCGCTGGGGGATCGCTCACCTTGCCGCGCAAGAAGTTACCCGATGTTCCGGCAGTTTGCGCTGAGGAACCCGGAGGATCCACGCCGTCCGTCGATTCTGCCGTGGGATCAGACGAGGGTTCTGTGACAACAGCCACGTCGAAAATCCCCATTATTAGCAAGAGTACTGACTCGTCGGATGCGACACACAAAGTTCCTGGTTCAAGATCGCTAACCTATCCTCTACCGAGACGAGGAACCCGACCAGATGACGTCATCCCGTTTAGTTCAATTGACGGAAACGGACTGAAGAGCTTGCAGTATGTAACTGCTGGCAGGGAACTGCACGAAGTACAGGAAGAGAGCGAAACATCCTTGGCGGATAGTCAGCAGTCGTCGTGCAGTCAGGATGTAGTAGGAGGCACACAGCATTCACCAGAAGGTGAAATTGCTCACGACTGGAGAAAATCAGAAGAATGTCACCTGACCTGCGAGCCGCCTGTGTGCCTGGGGGAGTTGGTAGTTTCTTCTTCAGACAAGTGCGCGCAGACAGCAGCGGCGGAATTGTCTGCAGAGCATTCCTATGAACACTGTGCACCAGAAAGTGAGGACACACGAAATACTAGTCAAACCGAGGAACAGTTCTGTGTCCAAACTAGTGAAGAAGACAAGATTATATATTTAGTGAGTGATGCTAATTCGTCAGACGTCGTTAAAGTGGAAAATTACCCTGCGTTGGAGGAGGAATCACTGAATGGTTGCCAAGAAAACGCTGATGTATTGCAGGAGTGTCTTAGTGTCGGTTATGGCAAGACATTAGCAAGTGAGGACACGGGACAACCAAGAGTGTTGGAGGAAAATGGCCGGGAAGTTTATATAACGCAGTGGCCTAATAATGAAGTCCAAGACGCGAGTGACACTAAAGAGGTTTTAGAAGTTGTAAAGCCATTGTCTCAAGAAGACTTTCATTGTATGAGTGGCGACTGGTCGGACGTGCAGATCGAGAACTGTAACGCCAAGCCGTCCACTGACGTTACTGGAAATAAAGCTGAGGAACCAGAAAAGACCAGGTACTCCGACAGTTCTCAGGTTGAAGAATCGTGCACTGATGTGGAGGACAATCCGCCGACACATACGGTAAGCATCGTGTCCCCTCAGTGGCAGCGTTCTGAAGAATGGGATAGTGCTCAAGAGGAATCACTGAGCCCTGACGAGGGAATTTCTTCTAAGGTGCAGTGGCCGAGATCAGAACGCTGGTTGGAGAAGCCCAAGTTGGTATACCAGAGTTCCGAGGAGAGGGAAGAAGACAGCACGGCCGTGCCAAGACGTTTTCGGACACCAGTGCGCGCGGACTCGCTGTCAGAAGGGGAGAGTGATCAGGGCGATCGCTGCCCAGTCACCCGAGACTGCACCGCCTCGCCATCTCCTTTCGCTCCCTCGGATTTGTCCGATTCCGAAGGACGTACAGGGGGAAGTGCCGGGAGCGAATCGAGAAGCCCCCATACCCCGCGACGCTACTCCAAGCGTCCTCTGAGAGGTCCGTACGGTCAGATGTTGGAAGCTGAGATGAGCAAAGCAGAGACGAATCGCATGTCTAAACTACAATTGGAGTTTTTGGAGAAGTACGTGTCTTCGCCACCTGACTCCAGCCGGTCCTCGCCAGCTGCCCCTGAGTCGGCCAACTCCAATAACTCTCGCCCCAGAGCCCTTACCACACAGTCCCTCGATGATTCGCAGCTGAAGGGCGGATATGGGCGCTCGTCCCCCGCTTCAACCCCATCACGCCCCTCCCCGAAACGCAAAGTGAGCGCCAATATCCCATACTCGGCCCCACACGGCGAGACGCAAAGCCTCCAGCAGCAACCACAGCAGCCGCAGCAGCAGTTTGTGTGTCATCAGCGGACAACCTCCAGCCCGTCACAGCTGGAAGGGTATTCCGGTACCAGCCCCCGCCCGGAGTTACTGGCGGAGCTACTCCGGGGCAGTTCGGAGCGCATGTACAACGGCAGTTCCGTGCAGCACGGACAGGTAAGAAGACCAGTTCTTTTTGTCTGCATGCTGTTTGTGGCTCTCCTCAGCGCATTTCTATTCACGTTGTCTCGTATCAGTTTCATGTAACGCCCCCTTTAACAATTATTAATTTCGCTTAACCCTTTGAAGCCGAAGATCGTCTGAATATTATTTATGAATTCAGTCCGTACCGCGAAGAAAACACTACACCTCACCATTACGAAAATCAGCTGGTTAACCCTTTGAAGCCGAAGCTCGTCTTCATAATATTTACGAATCCAGACCGTACCGCGAAGAAAACACTTCACTTAACCATTAGAAGTCGAATAAGATTTAACATCCCGGTCAAAGCCTTAAACTGATCGATCTTCGTAATGGTGAAGTTTTGCGTTTTGTTTGAAGGGCGGACTGAATGTTCAGATGTTATTGAGACGAGCTTCCGCAATGTGTGGTTAATAGATCCCGGATGCATTTGAAGCAGATTTCGCCACAGCCACGGAGGACAGTATTTTTCTAGGAGGATGGTTCGTGGCGAGGCGAGGCTTTCTGAGTCGGATGACAAAGTTGTCGAAGTATTTCGTTAAGAATCCGCCTTGTCCATTTCATTTGTTAACATCCTTTCGTCTTGGATTATTTATTTGAGAATGAGGAATGTGTTATTGTATACATGTTAAACAATAATAATTAAAACTTCCGTTTAGATGAGATTTAAAAATGTTAATTCACAAGTGAGAGACAACTAGCGTAGAAAAATATCTGGATTAATGAATAAATCAGGTTGTTAAATTTTTTTTTTAAACTTTTCTAGAGTTTATAATGTCCTGTGAGAGTTTGTGTTTAATTTTACATTTGCAGTGTTTATTTTATTCAATGTCATTGTATCGTGTCTTCGGAAGTTGGCTGAAGCCTCCACTGGAATAACATGACGGACTCTTACAGGAACATTTTGAAACTTAGGGAATGCCTGATTCGCGATCGTGGGGGGGGGCGTTTGTAGGGCTTTTGGAAACAAAAATCAGATGACGTTACTTCCACAGAAAATAAAAAAACGACTCTGAGATTATTTGGCCCAGAGTACCGATTTAAGGCATATTTTTCTTCATCAAGGAGAGGCCTGGGGATATTCTGCGGGAAATTCGTCGTAAAACCACACAGAAGCCCCATTAGATGCTAATAAAAAAGTTACCAGATTACAAAATAGTAAGGTTGGTAATGTATCCGTATCCATGATGGTTATTCTGGATTGTGAGTCCAGTGGACTTGTAGCTGGGTAATAATGTTGCGGAGGAACGTACTGCCTCCATCTGCAAGTGCACACAGGAGCATAACTCAGAAAACTGCCATCTTCACAGCAGTGAGAACGCCAATCTCATACAACAACTGCCTGTTTTACCACGAGACAGACTACGCGGTCACGTAGGATGGTAAAGAATCTTTCGTTATTTATTTTCAGATGTTAATTGTGTGCCCAGGGCTACAAATACTCTTGTGCTACTCATACATGTATAGCTAAAACATCCTTCGAAAGTAGAGGTCAAACATTTGGAAATTACGAGAACAAAAACTGCATTCACGAATAAATGAAGATCGATTAAAATTCCAGGGAAGAGAGTAAAAGGTTTTTCGGAGGCGAGGCGACAGCCGAGCGTATGTTTTATAACACAGGAATATGAAATGAATAGAAATCAAAATATTTAATATTTTTATTATTATTTAGTGTTCTGTCTGACGACAGGCCCATATGAACAGGATCCTTCCATCCTTTTCTCGGACTGGGACCTGTTCATATACGTTCTTGGCAGATGATCCAGAAGTGGTTTGCCATTGCCTTCTTCTGTGTGTGAATGGAGTAATTGTTGGGATGCCACGGAGGAAAACTCCGTGTTTCCTAGACCACGGCCTTGCCCAACACAAGTTATAAATTCGGGCACCGCCGGGAATCGAACCCGAGACCCCCGGATTACAAGGCCAGCGTTCTGACCGCTAGACCATTTAATATTACAGACAATTAAAGACAATCAACATGCAAGTGACGAGGGAATTCTTGATGGTAATTCTGATTCTGTAAGGGTTTGTGTGAGTGGCTGATTCAGGATATGAATATTATGCTGGACATTGTCCATTGTCTGAGGTATGTTAAATAGGACTTTTCGGTAGTCGTGTCTTCAGGTTACTGGTTGTCTTTACGATGACATGGGCCTTTTGAATTATAGTCTAATCTGTTGGTAGTGTTTTTTACTGTAGTTCAGAAGGTTTCGGGTTTGGCTAATGATCTTAAAATTAAAAATAACTTCGATTAGTCTGACATTGTAATGGCAGCCAGTCAGTCGAAGTCGAGCGAAAAGCCGACTTCCGAAACGATGTCTCATATGTTTAACTACAGGAATCCCATTTGTCCGTGGACCGGCCGGCTAGAAAATCTTTCGCCCACTCATGCCCGTTGCTGGCCACCGAACCGTCTGTTGTCACTCGATGCTTACTGGCATATCTCGATAGAGCTGCGTGTTTAGCATCCTTGAGATACGTAGAAGTGCAATTCTCAGCGTTGTGAAATACAGAGTTGAACAGAAACTATTCATGTACTATATACATTTGTACAGCGTTCTTCGTTGAGGGACTGAATAAAAGTTTGATGACATCGGGGATCGATTAGATTACGTCTTTTGGACCTTCGGCGTGGACTGGAAAAAGTACAGCTCACACTGGCACAAAGTTGTTAAAAGTTACGGCCTAGCAAGACGACAGTCCAGTGCCTCCAGATGGCGAAGCGTGGTTCACTTTAAGTGGTTATACGTAAACAGAGAAAATAACTGGTATTCGAGCACAGAAAATCCTCATGTCGTCCATGAGGTGCCATTGCATGATTTAAAAATTGGGATTTTGTGTGCAGTTAGTGCGCGGGCCCCCCCCCCTTTTTTACGAAATAATTAATTCCGAAAGTTATGTGACATTTGTTCTCTCACCCTTCTTCGATTAATTGACTTCTGAAGAAAAATCACGAGGGCATTTTATGCAAGATAATGCAATTCTCTGGTTGCACTACGTGAAGTCTTCGGCGAACGAGTTATAAGTCGAGGACTGTGGCCTTCGCGATCACCAGATTTAAATCCTTCTGTGAGTTTTATTTGTGGGACACGCTGAAATAAACAATCCGCACTCTTTGGATGAACCCAAAGAAAGTATTAGACATAAAATTTCCTCTATTCCCTTACAGAAACTCTGACGTGTGTCTAAGAACATACTCTCACGATGTGAGGCATATTTAGAAACAGAGGGTCGTCACTTCGAGACTCTTTTATAAAATAAGGTAAATTAAGCTACAGCGTAAAAGCGGCCGGTCTATCCGAGAAGCGTTGGAGATGGCAGGATTGTATTAAAAGGCCAGTATTTGAGACTTCGTAATAATTTAAATTTTTAAAAAAAAACTCCTGCTTCTTTAACTATAAAATCTGAACAGCAAGCTTTTTAAACGGGCATTTGTGGAACATCTGTTGGGGTTTCACATTTATAATCTCAATAGTACCGGAAAAATCTACTGGTCGCAGCTTTCCGTGTCTCAATTCAGGTACTCCATCTGCAACGAATGTTATCTTATCTGACGTCAGTGTTTACGTGTGGACATATGAGGTGTTCATTGCTGTTTGCTGTGCACGTGGCTTCCAGTTTCAATGAATTGTGACGTGTTATCGTCACTTGTGATTATCGTTCCAAATTTATGTTCCTTGCCGCTATATTTTTGTGTTTTAACAGCTGGAATATACTTACATTTCCTCATTAGGTGTGAGATAAATAGGCCAACAGATGAAGGTCTAATTATAAGGGGTCTCAGTTAACGAAAGTTAATTTTTTTTTTAAATTATGCTCTTAACCTCTTCGAGACCTAGGGTCGCATTCACCTCTGTTATCGATTCTCGGGCCGTAGAATTAAATCTCGATAGTTTATTGAAACGCCATAACAGTTTAATAAAATTCTAGTAATTTATTATTGCAAGCAGTTTTATATATTTCTTCGTAATTTACTGTAAGCAGTTTGTTGATTTAGTGTTTTATTTAATATTCGAATAAGAATTAAACATACAGTTCAAACGATAACTATTTTTATTATACAGGGTGATACAATATTACAAAATTGAAACTGGAACGCATTTCGTGTTTGTCGAAAGTTGTCTCTAATTACAGATTTCAGACATTCTTCCAGAATGTATACGTAATTCGCAAGACAAAACACACTGGCGGACCGCGTATTGAGAACCACTTTTCTGACTGGACAAAATAGTAAATTTAAAATTTTTATCACCGTTTTGAGAATTTATTAAAATTATGTGTGCTCATCTGACCGTGTACTGTACAAAATTTTAATCCGTGTCTCGGTGGTGACATAACCGAGTAATTTCATGCTTAATTCAGCCCAAAGTTTTTTCATGGATTAGAACTCGTGGACTTATGAGAAAGTATTTAATTAATGTAATTAGCTGTGTAAAGTTCGTACGCACTTGATGTGATTATTCTCTTGAGAGAAAGTTCAGCTTTTAGACGTTCATGTTTATTTTATTACCGTGCTAATATTTTAAAAGTATAATTTAAAGTTCATTTTAGTATTTGCGGAACACAATTTACTGTTTATTTCAATGCTAACATAATTTCGATGTGTATTGTAGTCCAAAAAATGATTGATCTTTCATATATTTTCAGAATATTCTTAAGTTACCTTTATGTTATAATGTTATGTACTTTCTTAGGCGTTTATTTCTGTACTTTTAAAAAAGATTTGTATTTTTACTTTGTGTTTTCACTAAGTAAATTAGCGCCATTAGCACAGATCAGTAGGTGGTGTGTTCCAGTCAGTCCAACCCCATCTACATTCCCCTAGACTCTTTTAAAGCTATTTTCTCCGTTCTGTCAGTTCTGTCGACAGTAGACCGAAATTCGGGGAATGTTTTCTGTCATTGTGATCAAAATCATCGGTCTCCCCCGTCTCCTATCTGAAGATATAAAAATAGAATGTACCATAATTGTAT